AAAGCAAAAACCCTAGCTGACATCGGCGTGAGGGTTTAGGGTTTAGGGTTTAGGGTTTAGGGTTTAGGGTCTAGGGTTTAGGGTTTGAGGTTTTACAGCTGGTTAGGGGGTTACGCCGGTTTAAGCCCACGCAGCAGTCTGCGCACTGACGTTTGCTTACGAGGGTTTAGGGTTTAGGGTTTAGAGTTTAGAGTTTAGGGTTTAGGGTTTAGGGTTTGTGGGTATGTACAGCCTGGAGAGGTTGCGCGGGTGATATCTGCGTTACTAAAAGAATATGAAAACGCAATAAGACAAACAAAAGCCAATGCTTTGGCGCAGCAGCAGCAGCAGCAGCAGCAGCACCAACAGCAGCAGCAGCAGCAGCAGCAGGGAGCAGCAGCAGCAGCAGCAGCAGGGAAGGGACCTATCGATCTGCTGCTGTGTCTGTGGGGTTTTAGCTGGAATGCTCCGCTGCTGCTGTCTCTTGCTGCAGCAGATATAAGCATTGATTTCTTTCTTCTTGTTGCTGCTGCTAATCCTGCTGCAGCAGCAGCAGCATTTGCTGCAGCACAAAGCAACTCTATTGCTGCTCTCATCAGTGCAGCAGAAACACAAAACCCTAATGTTGCTGCAGATATACTCCTCCTCCAGGACTGCACCAAGTCCGTATACACCGCAAACACAACGCGTCGCTCCCTCAAGGGTTTAGGGTTTAGGGTTTAGGGTTTAGGGTTTGTTACCTTCTCTATAGGGCATAGGGTTTAGGCTTTAGGGTTCAGGGTTTAAGGTGTATTGTCTTTTCTGTAGGGTTTAGGGTTTAGGGTCTAAGGTTTATTGTGTTCTCTGTAGAGTCTAGGGTTTAGGGTCTAGGGTCTAGGGTCTAGGGTTTAGGGTTTAGGGTTTGTATGAGCAGGAAGCACCAGGAGAACCCTGATTTATTTATTTCTCGGCTTGCTGCTGCTGCTGAGGATGTCAGCAGACAGCGTGAGGTGTACATACACTACAAGCAGACGATCCCCACGTTATCTTTTAAGGCATTGCAGCGCGAGGCAGCAGCAGCAGCCGAGGCTGCTGCTGCTGCTGCCGCTGCAGCTGCTGCAGCTGCTGCTGCTGCCGCTGCCCCTTCCTCTGCAACGGGAAATACAAAGACTGCAGCAGCTCAGCAGCAGCAGCAGCAGCAGCAGCAAAAACGGCAAGGAGCCAAACGTGACGGGGCAGATGCAGCAGCAGCTTCTGAGCAAGCTGCTGCTGCTGCTGCTGCTGCTGCAGGATATACTCGGCTCTGGCGGATTCTGTCCCCCCTGAGGAGACGTCAGTCAGTCTGCTGCTGCACTGTATGCTGCAGCAAGCAGCAGCAGATGCTGCTGCTAGGTGAGCATTGTCTCTTCTCTGTAGCTCATGCTGCTGCTGCTGCTG